ACCCTCAGAGTTCGCACCACCACCAGCAACGCAGCCAATCCCAGACTCTCCAGGTGCCGCAGTGGGTGCACCCGCACCCTTAGTCGTAGCGCCTCCAGGGACAGCTCGACTAACACTAGCTCCCCGAGGACTAGAGGCTCCTGCAGGCACAAGCTCAGCCTCCACTCCAGCACCCACAGTATCAGGACCTTGCACAGGTACACTCCAACTCCTCTAGAGCTAGCACCTCTAGGGTCCTCGCCACGAACACCGGCTCCCACAGGGTCTGCAGTAGGCTGTGAGGAGGATTGCGGGGAATGAGGCTACACGTGATGGGCTACCGAGGGGGGAGAGGTAGCGTGGGACACGCCTGACGGGGCTGGACCAGGGGGGGGAGGCTGTACCGGGGGAGCAGGAGGGGGAGCTGAAGTCAAGAAGAGAGGGGGAGGGGGAACCGGGAGACCTCGACAGGGGTACCGGATGTAGTCGGGGACGAACTCGTTGAAACGGACGTCACGGGAGAAAAAGAACCGGTGAAGGGGAGGGTGGTAAAAGGTGAAGTCAGAAGAGTCCTCTAGGAAGCCAAGGAAGACACAGGGAATGGCACGAGGCGAGATCTTGTCAGCGGAGGTTTCGCAAACAAGTGCCAAGCAACCCCAGACACGAAAACGCGATGCAGCACTAGGGGACCTGGTCTGAAGACCCGTCGAGAGACACGGGGCCAGAGTTTCAGCTGGTGAGCGGCGTACCGAACCGCGTAGGGCCACGGAAAATGGGGGGCACGAGCGTGAGTCAAGGAGGTGCGGGCAATCTCCATGACCAAGCCTATGCGGCGCTCAGCAACTCCATTCTACTATAGGGACTCTGGAAGCATCCAGGACTGACAAATGCCCTACCCGCTACATAATCCAGAGAGAACGTCAGAGCGAAACTCACCCCCGCGATCGGAGTGAAGACAGCTGACACGACGGCCACGAGTGTCCGTAGTGGTAAGTCATGTGTGATTTCTTTGCCAAGGGGAACACTGCGGTGTAGCAGGAGTAGTCGTCAATGACCATCAGAAAAAAACTCTCTCGCTCAGGGCCAAGGCAAGCAGCGGGGCCCCAGACGTCCAAGTGGAGAGTCTCGAAGGGCTCGGTGGCCGGACGAAGGGAGGAGGAGTGAGGGGTGGCGTACAGCCGACCTTCGACGCAGCGACCGCAAGGTGGTGCAAGCCAAGGCGGCAGCGTCGGCAAGACTCGCGGGAGGCCTAAGACAAGACGCTGACTAGACATAGCGTGCAGGCGAGGAATGGACGGGTGCCACAAGCAGTGGTGCCACAGAACGGTGGGGTGAGCAAGCGACCGGCAGGAGCAAGATGCAGCAACTGGACCAGACACGGGAACCTGACCAGACACACCTACATGGTGAGACACGGCAACCTGGTGAGACGGGGGAACCTGACAGGGGGCAGTGACAGTGGTCGGGGGCAGTAGCTACTGCTGCTGCGGGTGCTCCTGCTGCTGCTCCTACTGCTGCTACTGCTGCTGCTGCTGCTGCTGCTGCTGCTGCTGCTGCTGCTGCTGCTGCTGCTGCTGCCCTTGGGGGCAAGTGTGAAGTGTGTAGAGACCAGAGCCCGGCTCAGTGGTCAAGGTGGCCAGAGGCACGTACGTGTCCCCGTCGACACAAACCGCAGTCTCGCCATAAGGCTCAATCTACACACCCACGAAACTATTCACGAGCGGCCTCACACCCACCAAGTTCCAGGAGAACGAGGGGACGTGGAAGCCTGTCAGGAAACCCGAAGGAACTACTGGGCACGGGAGCGTAGTAGTGTAGTGAGTAGTGACTAGTCCCAAAGTGGGATCTGCCAGTGCTACTGAGACCGGCGCAGGAAGCAGAGTAAGCATCGTATGGTCGTGGAAGAAGCAGTGCTGAGCTTTGGAGTCCAGAGTGAAAGACAGCGAAGTGTCCTCCAGAGCAGCTCCTAGACTAGTGTCTACACAAGTACCTTAGCTAGCAACAGGCACCTCAGCACCACTAGCACCTAAGCTAACAACATTCGTGTAAAGAGAGTCAAAAGCACTAGAGTCAACAACAGCATACATAGCATGAAGAGTCCCTAAAAGATCAAGCAACTGAGAAGCCGACATGCCCCACAGAGTGGGGGCGTACGTCTGAACAAGGGGAAGCTAGTCAGGGGCAGGGACGCCAACGCCGTAGGCCGCACGAAGTGTGTCAGTGAGCTGAGCAAAGCACTGACCCGGTGGGTGGGTGCGGCAAGAAGGGAGGCCTCGGCGAGCACTTGTCTGAACGAGATAGGTGCAGGGAGGGTGGACGGCACCACGCGACGGCTGACACGGTCCCGACCCCTGCCCCGGAGTCTGCTGCTGCCGCTACTGCTGCTGTGACTGCTGCTGCTGCTGCTACCACTGAGTCAGGTACCAAGCCGCCACTCCAGCACCTGCAACTGGTGGACCAGCAGGTCCATGACGAACCCGATCGTCACCTCCACCAGCTGCAGCAGGGGAGTCACTAGCCGCTGCACGAGTGGCTCCTCCAACCTCTGTACTCCCGCCACCACAGCTTGCCATGCCACCTCCACCGCCTCCACCGCCTCCGCCCGCACCCTGACCGCCCCTCCTGCCACTCCCACCCCTGGACCGTGAAGAAGTCGTAACAACATCTGCGGTCACGTCAGTAGCGGCAGTGGCGAGGGAGGAAGTGAAGGTGGGCAACTGAGGGACAGTGCACCCGTGAAACGGTGGAGGGGGCACAGCACCAGAGGCAGAGGCTACCGATCGGAGGTTGCTCTCGACGTCCTTGAAGGCAGACTCAAGGACCTCGATAGTGAGCTCACTAGGGTGCTTCAGAAGAAGCGCGTCACGAACCGATGCAAGGCGGTTGCCATAGGGGGAGGGAGCAGTGCAAGCTGTGCGTCAGTGCAGGCAGCGCGGTAGCTAGAATCGAGCAAGCGCAGGTGAGGGATCAAGTCAGCAGAGTGCTCAAACGAGGCGAGGTCAGGAAACAGGAACGGGAGGAACAGGTGACCAAGAAAGATAGTGGTGGGAGTAGCGTAGCGGGCCTGGATTGCAGTTAGGAACTCACTAGCCATGCAAACCTGGTGAAGTGGGCCTCCTCAGACTCAAGGAGGAGGCTGCTGAGGGCAATGTAGGCCGCAGCGTCACGCGACTTCCATGCTGTCAGGTTAGCATGCTGGCGAGCATAACAGTCTCTGTCTGCACTACTTGGGTCAGCGCCTAAGGGTGCAGGGTCGTCGGGCTTAGGAAGGTCACCGGAAGCGTGCGCCCACAGAGACTCATCTGCCTGAATTTGACTCTCTAAAAGGCAGCGCGCACGTAGGAGCCAGACCAAGAACTCAAGCGGCCTACCCTCGGCGTCAAAGCACAGGACCCTAGGGGTCGCCATAGCGGAAGCAAAGAGGTGGGAAGTGCTGCTGCCGAAACCCTAAACACTTAGAGCGGCTTTGTAGGGCGTGGCTGGCAGAGTTGGAGGCGTAGGGCGCTACAAGACGCGGGGTAGGGCGCGACACGGCGGGACTACAAGGGCGCGGCGCTACGGGCAGGGGTAGCACGACGTGACGAGACGGGCAGCGCGACGCGACCGGACAAGACGGGCAGGCGCGATTCGGCGGGACGGGACGGGTAGCGCGACGCAGACGGGCAGCGCGACGCGGCGGGACAGGACGGGACGGACGACGCGACGCAGCAGGATGGACAGGCGCGGCGCATGCGACGGGACGGGATGGACGCGACGCGACAGGACAGGACAGCAGGGGCGACGCGACGGGACAGCAGGGGCGACGAGACAGCAGGGGCGACGGGACAGCAGGGGCGACGGGATAGTAGGGGCAACGCGACGAGACGGGACAGCAGGGGCGACACGACGGCAAGCGCAGCGAGCGCTAGGGCACGAGAGAGAAGAGCACAATAGGCGCTAGGGGACAGTACGGGCGTAACGGGCACTAGGGTACAGAACAGGCTCGGGCGCTACGGACGTGAACGAGAGGAACGGGATCCCACAGGATCCTAACCTAGGTGATACCATGTCCAGAACGTAGTGATGATTTCACTAAGGTTGGTTGGGGTACATTAACCTAGCCCTTACTGTTATACCCCATATGACACACATCACTAAGAATATAACATCTGACAATAGGAACCCTAAAAGTGTTGTACCCCCTTATAGCTAACCTCACTACAGAAGCATACAAATATGTTTGACACACCCTCATAGGCTAAGTAAAATAAAAATAAAAAATTACCTTCATTGTCACACCTCACCCACCTCTCTCAAAATTTAAATAAATAAAAAAAGGCGAGTATGAGGCGCTGTCATGCGATGCGGCTTAGGAGGGTGCTTCGGGTGCCAGTGCTGTGAATGGCCACGAGGCGCAAGAGGAGGCATCTGCGGACAAGGCTGGTGGTGGCGGTGCAGCAAAAGAGTTAGGTGGGCATGTGGCAAGCGGGGATCCGACCAAGCATACTTGTGTTTAGTTGAGAAATGTCTTCGTCGGAAGCTCTCGGAGTGACAGATCCTGGGCAACGGATGAGAGGTGATGAGGTGTGCGAGTGAGTGGGATGGAGGGTAGTGGATTGAGCGAGAATAATTTGATGGTTGGGTTGTGGGGCACGGGTGACTGGGGGGGTGGGTTGTTGGGCGCGCAATGGATTGGATTGGAAGGGTGGGTAACAGGAGCTGCAAAGGACTAGGTGAGGGGAGGTGGGGAAGGTGAGTGGGGGCGGAAGGGCTTGATTCGTTCGAGTACACATATCGTCATCGCCCGGATAGAAGACAGTGTCGAATTGAAGACAGGGGGTGTCTTTAATACGGGTGTATCTTATAGTTGGGTGCTTCCGATTATAAGCCACCTCCATGCGTGTACGACTTAAGACATTGTCTACTAAACAGTTCTAGGGTTCAGGGTTTTCTTATAAAGGGGGTGGGTGTCTTAAAATCGGTTCTTGCATTCAGGGGTGGGGGAGTACATGCATGCAATTATCCAATCTTACTATTTCTACCTAGCCCCCCTCGGTTACGCCCTCCTCATCTGCACTAGCAGATCCTGGCTCCTGCATCTCCAAGTCTGGCACTCGCCATGCATGCTTGGCCGTCTGCACCGGCTCGATCATGCGGTCAGCCTCGGCCGCCGCTCCCCAGTAGTGGGGGGTCTCCTGGCACAGCACCTCCAGGCCGGTGGCCACGGCCACCTCCATCACACCCTCCGCCTGCATCTCCTCCTCCTCCTCCTCCTCCTCCTCCTCCTCCTCCTCCTCCTCCTCCTCCTCCTCCTCCTCCTCCTCCTCCTCCTCCTCCTCATCCTCCTCGGGAGCCTTCCCAAGCAGGCGCGTGTTGTCGCCCGTGGTGCCCCCGAGGCACATGTCTTCGGTGACATCGGTGGTGCTCCTCGCGCGCAGGTGGGACATCACTAGATGGTTCTCGGTCCCATCCAGCTTTCTTGAGATGCCGTAGTGGCGGAACGCATCAATGATCACCTGCCTGGGGACTTGATCCCACGCCTCCGCTATCCACTACAGCACCACGGGATGCGGGGGTCTCCTCAAGTTCCCTGCGGGTGGGTCAGAGGCAAGGGCAGCGTGCCGTTAGATACCGTACATCAAGAAGTAACGGGGATGGAGCAAGTGATCACCGACCGTGGACTCACCGTGCTTCGTCTTTAGGTAAAGGCCTTCACGCATGAACCACCTAGCGTAGCGAGGTCGCACCCCGGCCTTGAAGCACCGGTTAATGGAAACGTCAAGTGGTTGAATTTGACTGGTGCAACCTGCAGGGATTACAGCGAGGGTGATGCTGTGCGTGCGATAGGCGCGAAGCATGCCCTGGGTGATGTGGCCACGATACGAGTCTAGCACCAGCATCACACGCTTCGTGCTCTGGCCGCGCCGGGGGTTGAGATAGGGCACCACCTCCTTTGTGAGCCAAGTCTGCACAGCGGTCTCGTCCATCCACCCGTTGTCCTGTGCTTGGACCACCACTCCTGCCAGGCACAGAGGGAGATAGGGGCGTCAGCCAAACAGGGCCAACCCTACACTCTATCCATCCCAAATTCGGGTTGCTCACCTGCGGGGACGTCACATTTCGGCACGTTCTTCATCTTGAACCACACCCACGGGCGCAACTTCTCCCCGGATGCCGTGCACGCGAGCATCACTGCCAGCCGCGTCTTCTCGTAGCCTGCCGTGCGGATCGGGACTGAGCGCGCACCACGGTGGTCAAGGGTCCTCTCGGCCGGCATCTCAACGAAGAGTGGCGTCTGGTCCGCATTGATGAAGCGGCTTAGGTCTATGTTGTGCCGCGCCCTGTTGATTCTCACAAACTTCCAAAAAGACTCGCAGTCCTTTGCGCACTCTGCGAAGGCAAAAAAGCACACACAAGGAGGGGATGAGTCGGGATGTGCAGGTTTTTAACGGGAAATGCACAGAGAGTTGACATTCCACAGTGATTTCAAGTATTGAACCACTGACCAGCCGACAACCGCTGGCCAACCTTTGTCTTCACCCGCATGACAAGGTTGAGCGGTCACGGAAACATCGGCTCCAGTGTGAGCTTGCGTTCCAGTTCTTCCCAGGGTGGTGTTTCTTCATCCACTCACGGCTCCAATTCTGAGTGTCTTTGACCGAGATCGCCACCCCATTCGCGCGATGCAGACAGATGTAGCGGTACGCCGCCGCCTCCATGTCGGGGTGGTGTGAGTGGCGGCCCGCCCCATGCATGCGCTTGCGTAAATTTGTAGCGCCCTTATACATGCCCGCTGCAGCCTGCGCGCTCCAGCGTCTGATGCATGCGATGCTGGCTGAAGACTCTCCCAATGTCTTCTTGAGGGAGTCGAGCTCCGCATAGCGACGCTCCCACTTGACCTTTTCGCGCACGGACCAGGACCGCCTGGTCCTCTTAATACCGCGACTGCGTGGGGAAGGGGGGCGGGAGTTACCATTACGGATGGTGGGATCTTTTAGCTTCGCCTTTTCAGGGAACGAAGGCATGGGGCCTGCAGCCTCCGCGTATTCGTCGTCACTGCCGAGCGCCTCGTTGACCAGGATGTCGTCTTTGCTCTTCCCGGCCTTCTTCTGCTTCTTCGCGCCTTTGCTTGAACCCGGGTCACCATCATCCTTGCGCTTCTTCTTACTTTGGCGGACGCGAGGGGCGACCTTAGCAGGCACCTCCACCACCTTACCCTTCCCCTTGTTAGCAGCGGAGAGGCGGGGTCGCTGCTCCTCAGCAGGGCTGTCTTCGTCCGAGAGCACCACCTGGGCTTATTATTGGGCGCCACCTAGGCGGTGACGCAGCCGCCTCTTCAACAGAGGCACGTCGTCATCGTCGGAGACGCGCCATGGGTCGTCCCCGTCGTCCTCGCCTTCGAAGCAGACCACGTTACGGCCGTCACCCGCTTCCGCCTCCGCACAGCAGCCGTATCTGCGCCTGCTTCGGCATCCGCCTTTGCATCCGCGTCCGCATCCGTTCCCGCTTCGTCATCCGCCTCTGCATCCGCATCCGCATCCGCAACCGCATCACGCATCGCTCTCGTAGACACATCTGCAGTCGCCGCCACCTGAGCTTCTACCGTCGCATCTGCCGCCACATCAGCAACCGCATTCGCGCCTCCGTCGTCGTCATCGTCACCGGCGCGCCACTCTTCCACATCGTCGCCAGAGCTGATCGGCCGCATCCACCACTCGTCATCGTCGAGGCCTCCGGCTGGCACCTCGTCGCCAGATTCGCTGTCGTCGTGACCGTTCTCCGGCCAATCCTCTTCCTCCTCGTCGCCATGATCTTCGTCGCCTTCGCCTTCGTCGCCCTCATCCTCGTCACAACTTGATCCTGAGCCGGCGTTGGAGCATCCCGCCGGTTGGCGCTTCTCTTTCGCCATGTCTACACGGATATCGTCACCAAGCGGGTTGATGCGCCCAAAGTTGGTAACCTGGAGGTTAGGGAGAGGAGGCGGCGCGCTTGCAGGGTGCTTACTACGCATGATAGAGCCTGCTTTGAGCTAAGGTTGAGTTACTTTTGAGTTCCATGAGCTCAAAATGAAGCTCAACCTCGACTACCCCCCCGTTCCAGAGCGCCCCTTCCCTTGGAAGACGAGCCGCTCCTCTACGGCAGATTTACTCGTAGAGGACAGCACAGGATGGCAGCATGCTGCCATCGTGCTGCTGGCAGCGTTCTAGAAGGCTCTGTTCGCTGCTGGCAGCAAAACGATACTCGCAGCATCATGAGATGCTGCCAGCAGGGCGGGATTCTGCCAGCACAAGCAGCATTGATGTGTCCCATCATGTGGCACGAGGTGGCGGCGCATGAATCGCGTCAATGTGTGGCCGAATTCAATGAATCCACCCCGTGGGTGCTTTCTACAGACTTTGTAAATGTTACATGGTTCTTATAATTTTTTGTCTATTTATAGGAATGATAAGACACCCAAAACCGTCCCAGATACAAGACACAGCAAGCATTTTTTTTAATGTATAAGATAAGACATATATGTTTTTTATTTGGGTGATGACGGTATTTGTCCGATGGTTATCAAACCAACCTGGCCTCGGACTAATCAGACCAGTTAATCGTGGCTGTCTGATTCATGAAGCACTTCAAAATACCGTATGATGGGCAAGCAAAACAAGCACCAAAGGAAGCCTCTCCTCCCAGTGATACCAAATCAGAAAGAAAGCAACGAGCCAAAGCCTCAGCCATTCCTGCGGAGATAGCGCCGCCACTCGGAGGTGGCGGGTTGGGGGGCAGGCACCCAGCATGGAGGCACTGACGTGCCCGGGGCATGCGCGCTTGGGACATGCGCGCCTGCGGCATGCGCGCCTGAGGGCAGCGATGCAGCAGCAACTGGATCGGAGCCAGCAGCGGGAGCAGCACGTGCAGAGAAAGGAAGCAGACCTTCACGCATGAAGGAGGTTGCTGCGAGGAGCTGACGGGTGTGAGGGGTGTGAGAGGTGGAAGGGACGAGAGCGCCTAGAGGGCGCCGGGGTACTTGGGGGTGAGGGGTTGGGGCAGAGCAAGGCAGGGGCAGCAGGAAGGCATCCCACTGGCGCCGCACTGCTGCGAGGCTATGCAGGGACAGGTGGTGAGCGGCAGCAGAGGAAAGCACAGGCAAGCCGTCACACGAGGGCAGGCCCTCTTTCCCCCCGCTCTCCCCTGCCCTCGCTGACTGTGCTCCCCTCTCCCTGCTTCCATGGTCGCCCCTGTGGCTCTGGCCCTGGCATGCCTCCATGCCTCCCGCATCTCTCCCATCCCCACTGCTACCACCCACAGAGGCTCTTGCTTCCTCTGCTGATTGCTCCTGTACGAACGCTGGGCACCTTGTTTCCCTCTCCACACCCCACCTCGTCTCCTGCTCCTCTCCGTCTCCCCTCCCCTCCTCTTGCTCGTCTCCCTCTCCCCTCAATCCATCTTGCTCCTCCCCTTCTCCCCTCCCCTCGTCTTGTCCTGCCACTACACCCTTTCTGTCCTCCTCCTGCACCGCCTCTCTCACAGCACGCATGAACGCATCCTCGTCGCCCTCCACCACCCGCCCTGCCAGGGTGCTCCCACCCACCACACAGAAGGGCATGAGAACACCGGGGGAGGGCGAGGGGGGAGAGAAAAGAATGGACAGCAGCGGGGCGGCGTCTGTCTCTGCGGAAAGCAGCAGCACAGTCCTCCTCTCCCAGGGCCAGGTTCCAAGACTTGGGGAGGACTGGCCAAGGGCAAGCAGTGATGGAGCGTTTTGCAAGGGGAGAGAGAAACTGTGAAGAAATGGTAGCTGATTCTCACAGGCACGTTCTGTAACGAGGAGACCTTCACTGCCCCGTGGTTCGCACACAAAGACAAACATGTTGCGGCCGCAAGAGATCTCTACTTCTGACAATACGATTCCCTGGGCTAGCTTCACCAAGATCAGCCCCAAAACAGGGGCCAATCCAGGCAGCCTTTGGAAGAATTTGGAAGCCATGTCTCAAGCCCCCGAGGGTGTCTTCGTTGGTAACAGGGCCTGATCCATTACCTGGCCTGATCCATTACTTGATCCATTACCTGATTTATTACCTGATCCATTACCTGATTCATTACCTGATTCATTACCTGATTCATTACCTGATCCATTACCTGATTCATTACCTGATTCATTACCTGATCCATTACCTTTTCCATTACCTGATTCATTACCTGATCCATTACCTGATTCATTACCTGATTCATTACCTGATTCATTACCTGATTCATTACCTGATCCATTACCTGATTCATTACCTGATTCATTACCTGATTCATTACCTGATCCATTACCTTTTCCATTACCTGATTCATTACCTGATTCATTACCTGATCCATTACCTGATTCATTACCTGATTCACTACCTGATCCATTACCTGATCCATTACCTGATTCATTACCTGATCCATTACCTGATTCATTACCTGATTCATTACCTGATTCATTACCTGATTCATTACCTGATTCATTACCTTTTCCATTACCTGATTCATTACCTGATTCATTACCTGATCCATTACCTTTTCCATTACCTGATTCATTACCTGATCCATTACCTTTTCCATTACCTGATTCATTACCTGATTCATTACCTGATCCATTACCTTTTCCATTACCTGATTCATTACCTGATCCATTACCTGATTCATTACCTGATTCATTACCTGATCCATTACCTGATCCATTACCTGATTCATTATCTGATTCATTACCTGATCCATTACCTGATTCATTACCTGATTCATTACCTGATTCATTACCTGATTCATTACCTGATTCATTACCTGATCCATTACCTGATCCATTACCTGATTCATTACCTGATCCATTACCTGATTCATTACCTGATTCATTACCTGATTCATTACCTGATTCATTACCTGATTCATTACCTGATTCATTACCTGATTCATTACCTGATTCATTACCTGATCCATTACCTGATTCATTACCTGATTCATTACCTGATTCATTACCTGATCCATTACCTTTTCCATTACCTGATTCATTACCTGATCCATTACCTGATTCATTACCTGATTCATTACCTGATCCATTACCTGATCCATTACCTGATTCATTACCTGATTCATTACCTGATCCAATACCTTTTCCATTACCTGATTCATTACCTGATCCATTACCTGATTCATTACCTGATTCATTACCTGATTCATTACCTGATCCATTACCTGATCCATTACCTGATTCATTACCTGATCCATTACCTGATTCATTACCTGATTCATTACCTGATTCATTACCTGATTCATTACCTGATTCATTACCTGATCCATTACCTGATTCATTACCTGATTCATTACCTGATTCATTACCTGATTCATTACCTGATCCATTACCTTTTCCATTACCTGATTCATGACCTGATCCATTACCTTTTCCATTACCTGATTCATTACCTGATTCATTACCTGATCCATTACCTTTTCCATTACCTGATTCATTACCTGATCCATTACCTGATTCATTACCTGATTCAGTACCTGATCCATTACCTGATTCATTACCTGATTCATTACCTGATTCATTACCTGATTCATTACCTGATTCATTACCTGATCCATTACCTGATTCATTACCTGATTCATTACCTGATCCATTACCTGATTCATTACCTGATTCATTACCTGATTCATTACCTGATCCATTACCTTTTCCATTACCTTATTCATTACCTGATTCATTACCTGATCCATTACCTGATTCATTACCTGATTCATTACCTGATCCATTACCTGATCCATTACCTGATTCATTACCTGATTCATTACCTGATCCATTACCTTTTCCATTACCTGATTCATTACCTGATCCATTACCTGATTCATTACCTGATTCATTACCTGATTCATTACCTGATCCATTACCTTTTCCATTACCTGATTCATTACCTGATTCATTACCTGATCCATTACCTTTTCCATTACCTGATTCATTACCTGATCCATTACCTTTTCCATTACCTGATTCATTACCTGATTTATTACCTGATCCATTACCTTTTCCATTACCTGATTCATTACCTGATTCATTACCTGATCCATTACCTTTTCCATTACCTGATCCATTACCTGATTCATTACCTGATCCATTACCTGATCCATTACCTGATTCATAATCTGATTCATTACCTGATCCATTACCTGATTCATTACCTGATTCATTACCTGATTCATTACCTGATTCATTACCTGATTCATTACCTGATTCATTACCTGATTGATTACCTGATTCATTACCTGATCCATTACCTTACCTGATTCATTACCTGATTCATTACCTGATTCATTACCTGATTCATTACCTGATTCATTACCTGATCCATTACCTTTTCCATTACCTTTTCCATTACCTGATTCATTACCTGATTCATTACCTGATCCATTACCTGATCCATTACCTGATTCATTATCTGATTCATTACCTGATCCATTACCCGATCCATTACCTGATTCATTACCTGATTCATTACCTGATTCATTACCTGATTCATTACCTGATTCATTACCTGATTCATTACCTGATCCATTACCTGATTCATTACCTGATTCATTACCTGATCCATTACCTGATTCATTACCTGATTCATTACCTGATTCATTACCTGATCCATTACCTTTTCCATTACCTTATTCATTACCTGATTCATTACCTGATCCATTACCTGATTCATTACCTGATTCATTACCTGATCCATTACCTGATCCATTACCTGATTCATTACCTGATCCATTACCTTTTCCATTACCTGATTCATTACCTGATATATTACCTGATTCATTACCTGATTCATTACCTGATTCATTACCTGATCCATTACCTTTTCCATTACCTGATTCATTACCTGATTCATTACCTGATCCATTACCTTTTCCATTACCTGATTCATTACCTGATCCATTACCTTTTCCATTACCTGATTCATTACCTGATTCATTACCTGATCCATTACCTTTTCCATTACCTGATTCATTACCTGATTCATTACCTGATCCATTACCTTTTCCATTACCTGATCCATTACCTGATTCATTACCTGATCCATTACCTGATCCATTACCTGATTCATAATCTGATTCATTACCTGATTCATTACCTGATTCATTACCTGATTCATTACCTGATTCATTACCTGATTCATTACCTGATTCATTACCTGATTCATTACCTGATCCATTACCTGATTCATTACCTGATTCATTACCTGATTCATTACCTGATTCATTACCTGATTCATTACCTGATCCATTACCTTTTCCATTACCTTTTCCATTACCTGATTCATTACCTGATTCATTACCTGATCCATTGCCTGATCCATTACCTGATTCATTATCTGATTCATTACCTGATCCATTACCCGATCCATTACCTGATTCATTACCTGATTCATTACCAGATTCATGACCTGATTCATTACCTGATTCATTACCTGATTCATTACCTGATTCATTACCTGATTCATTACCTGATCCATTACCTGATTCATTACCTGATTCATTACCTGATCCATTACCTGATCCATTACCTGATTCATTACCTGATTCATTACCTGATCCATTACCTTTTCCATTACCTGATTCATTACCTGATCCATTACCTGATTCATTACCTGATTCATTACCTGATTCATTACCTGATCCATTACCTTTTCCATTACCTGATTCATTACCTGATTCATTACCTGATCCATTACCTTTTCCATTACCTGATTCATTACCTGATCCATTACCTTTTCCATTACCTGATTCATTACCTGATTCATTACCTGATCCATTACCTTTTCCATTACCTGATTCATTACCTGATTCATTACCTGATCCATTACCTTTTCCATTACCTGATCCATTACCTGATTCATTACCTGATCCATTACCTGATCCATTACCTGATTCATAATCTGATTCATTACCTGATCCATTACCTGATTCATTACCTGATTCATTACCTGATTCATTACCTGATTCATTACCTGATTCATTACCTGATTCATTACCTGATCCATTACCTGATTCATTACCTGATTCATTACCTGATTCATTACCTGATTCATTACCTGATTCATTACCTGATTCATTACCTGATCCATTACCTTTTCCATTACCTTTTCCATTACCTGATTCATTACCTGATTCATTACCTGATCCATTACCTGATCCATTACCTGATTCATTATCTGATTCATTACCTGATCCATTACCCGATCCATTACCTGATTCATTACCTGATTCATTACCTGATTCATGACCTGATTCATTACCTGATTCATTACCTGATTCATTACCTGATTCATTACCTGATTCATTACCTGATCCATTACCTGATTCATTACCTGATTCATTACCTGATCCATTACCTGATCCATTACCTGATTCATTACCTGATTCATTACCTGATCCATTACCTTTTCCATTACCTGATTCATTACCTGATCCATTACCTGATTCATTACCTGATTCATTACCTGATTCATTACCTGATCCATTACCTTTTCCATTACCTGATTCATTACCTGATTCATTACCTGATCCATTACCTTTTCCATTACCTGATTCATTACCTGATCCATTACCTTTTCCATTACCTGATTCATTACCTGATTCATTACCTGATCCATTACCTTTTCCATTACCTGATTCATTACCTGATTCATTACCTGATCCATTACCTTTTCCATTACCTGATCCATTACCTGATTCATTACCTGATCCATTACCTGATCCATTACCTGATTCATAATCTGATTCATTACCTGATCCATTACCTGATTCATTACCTGATTCATTACCTGATTCATTACCTGATTCATTACCTGATTCATT